TCAGCACTGACGAAGATCAAGGGAGGTGTTGAAGGACGTCCACAGCTATTTGTCTGCTAGCAGACTTGTGAGCTTCCACTTGTGGTCAGGTGTCATGCCTGACTGTAGCGACAGAGCCAGTCTGCGGTCACTCCACTGCTGTTGTTGCGCCACTTACTCTGGAAGTGTGTACCTGGGCTTGTGGTGCTGCGGACAGTCGGTGGAGGGCTTCAGGCATTTCTGTGGGACCACAGCAGCTTGTTTTGAGCGCTTGTTAATTTTAGCCTCCCTGTGCTTAGTGGCACAGGAACAACTCATTGCTCTGCTCACGTAATTTTCAGCATCATCAGTGTCAGGTACTTCAATAGGAGGTGAAGTGTAACCTGATTTTTAGAAACGTTCTTATTCCTGGCAATTAATGACAGGAGCCACCAGGGTTTCAACCCAAATTTCTCTGCATTCTCTGTGCTTGACTGTTTCTCTGGATAGATTATGCCAGACCACGGAAATGGGGAATTGTGAAGATTGCATGATTGCTGCCTGTGTGAGTGCAAAATGAAATGAAAAGATCTATTAGTTTTTGGAGAGATGAAGTGGAGAGCAGACGCGTGCATCCATGAAAGCAAGTGGTGGCTTCAACAGAAGCACATGTACCCTTCTGCGAGGAGACCCTGAGTGTGTGCGCGGCCAGGATGCTCAGCATGTTGCTTCTCCCAGCTGAGACTGGGGGAAGAGAGGCAGCCAGAGCTTCCTAATCTAAGGTGAAGAGCATATCAGAGCATGTGGGAGTGTGGTTTCATTGGTTTTGTTTCACCTAGAAAATCTTTGCTCTCACTGTTAAAGAAACTTGTGCTTGTTTTGATGGAGCTTTTTGGTCTCCTTGTAAGTATACAGCCATAGTTCCTGAGGGTGTTTGGGCACAATTCCAGCTGGACATGCTAAATCAGTCAAAGGAGATTCCTCAGACCTTCAGCCAGCTTCTGCTGTGGACGCAGATGAACTTTGGAGGCTGCTCTAAAAGAGGTGCAGCTCCAGGGAGGAGAGGGGTGGCTCAGCAGGATCCAGAAAGGGGACACACGCTGAGCTCGGTGTCTGCACGAATCCATGTAGAAGGCAACCCTCCTTTTACCCTGCTGACTTTTGGCACTAGCAATAACTTCTGTGACTTAAATGATTCAAGCTTAATTTTTCTGTGGTGTAAAAGCCCTTCCTGTGATCCATGATGAATGTTACTGTCGCTAACCGTCCCTTTGGTTTGGGGTGCAGAGTGAAAAGCAGCTGGTTTGCCTGAGCTGGGACGTGTACCACCTCCCGCAGCCAGTACCCTCCCGGTTCTCTGCTACAATTTGCCTCTTATCAATGTTTCTGTGTTTTATAGCCTACATCCCTGTTGCTGGTGTCCTAAATGTGAAATCACAGAATGTATTTTGCATAACTTAATATTTACAGTTAGGTGAAATGGTTGGTAAATTGTTTCATATTGGTTTTACTGTTCCCCTCTGCCCAGGTTGTGCCCTGTGTAATCTTTAAAGAAATCTAAGGCACACTGCCTAATGTCAAGTGTACTAATGCCTCCTATTAAAAAGTCAGCATAGGAATGAGGTTGGAAAGTGATGTATTTATTTCCTCATTTGTATAAAGTAAGTTATCATTGGAAATCAACACCTGAAATGGAACTTAACAGTGTGCATAGTTGTAGGACAGAAAATAACTTTTTCTCAAAAAATGTGTTTAACCTGTATTTGCAGACAGTTCAGGGAGGGGAATTGCAGGAGGAATATTGACTTTGGGACAGAATACTCCAGTAATGAAATTTAAAAAAAAAAAAAAAGGCAGCAGAGGAGAGTCTGGAGCTGGATACAGAAAGTATGGGGAGGAGTGGGGGGTCCTCAGGAGATGGGGTTGTGGGGCTGTGCAGGGAGGAGAGTGGGGTGGACCTGTGCGTGGCTGAAAAGTGGAGAACAAGTGCTTCGTGAAGGCAGGAAGATGCTGTGATGGTTTTGGGGTAGGGTCGTGACCAGTGGCAGAAGAGGAAGATGGAGTATGGCTGGATGTTTTTGTCACAGTGTAGAGAAGAGCAATCAGGTTTGGAAAAACCCTGGCAGCTTGTTAAATCCTGTGTTTTCCTTTGCCTTTTAATATATGATCCTGTAAGGATTGCTTCATGCTTCTGATTGTTTTCTTTTCATAAAGCGAGTGAGTGTTTCTGCGCGCCCCGGGTCTGACAAGTGGCAGCAAGAGGCTGTGCTGGCTAAGCTGTGTGTTTGCTCTGAAGGGGTATCCCCATCCCCAAACAAGCCAAAGTGCAGCCAACCTCAATCCCATCATCTCTCCCCAGCCTGTGTACAGCCGCTTGCCTCCTGAAAGGGCTCATCTCTGGAAAAACCTTTCCCGGTAATTGAAATTGTAGAAAAGAGCATTGCAACACTTGCTCTAACATTAATGTCGTTTCCTACAGTGTAACCAGCTGGACCTTGAGCTGCTGCCTTTCAGTTGCCCAGATTAAAGTCTTAGCATGTGCAGCCTTCCTTTCCTGTGTTCCTATGACTAATCTTAATTATGAAACTGTTGAGGCAGGGTAGCTGCCTCCTGTTGGAGTGGAAGGACCAGCGTCCTGTTCTGGCAGCAGCGTGCTCCTCGGCACGTGGCTGGAGTGAACTCCCAAGGGTGAAGATGAGTTTTTCCCAGCCTTTCTGGCAAATAAGGCAAGCGGCGTGGTACGATGCCTGCCTGCCACACCAGGCTGCTGTGCTCCTCTGCCCCAGGAGGAATCAAGTGGAGAACTTGGAAGTACAATGCGTTCTCTTAATCTGCCAGGATCGAGTTCAGCCTGAAGGGTGTTGAAAATATTGACACTGGTGATGAAGTCCAGTTAAGCTCCTTGAGGAGTCTCTTACAGAATCACTTAACCAAGAAACGATTTTTGAGGAAAACATTTGTTTGATTTTTTTTTTTTTTTTTTTCCTCCCAGTGATAACTCATGACTGAGGCAGGAAACAGATTTAGAAATGTGAAGCCTTCAAAATAGCCTGAAAGGTGACTTTGGTGGTCTCCATGGAAACTTATCTATTCTGTAGCTTTGCAGAGGACTTATACAAGAGCTGCTGCCTGGCTTTAAAAAATATAGTAATTAAAAAAAAAAAAAAAAACAAAACCAAAACACAAAACCCAAACCACCAAACCTGCTTAGGTCTGAATTTGGGGTGGTCCCAGATACACAGTGAAGCGTGGCCTGTAGTAAAGGGGGGGGGGGGGGGGGTTGTTCCTGGGCCATTCTGGAGCAGCTCTGCTGGAGAAAAGCTTGATGCGACTTTCTGGGTTGCTGACTGCAATTTAGGTTATGTTGGTTGCTGAAGGAAGCAGTGGCTTCACAGGAGGGATTCCTTGGTCTGTGCTCATCTCTTACAAGTAAGACTGCAGGGTGCTCTCTGTTCGTACTTTGCACATGTCCTGTTGCTGTAACTTTCAGGTACAGAGCATGCTCTGACTGCCAGTCTCTATTTTGGGAAGGACTTGAAAAAGAAATAACTTCAAAAAGAAATTACTCAAATTTTGCTGAGGTTTAGGAGTTGTAGAATGAGGTGACTGGTTTCTGGATGTGTTTTTTGAACTGGCTGGAGCTGGAAGCCTGAGCTCTGCTCCGTGCCAGGAGCTCCCTGCTGGGCTGCATCTCTGACTTTTTCCCCAGGTGGGGATAAAATGGAATTGTGTAGGTGGGCCAGATGCCGTGGTGATCAGGCTGCTGATGGGCTGCAGGGGTGCCTGGTTGCAAGTGGTGGTTTGCTTGGCTGAAGGGCCAGGGGAGGCCAGGTGGAGCATGGCACTGCCCTTTCTTGCTGCTCTCCAGCTACGTCAGAAACTTTAAACAGGTGGGGAGTTCTCCTTGTAAAAACTCACTACTTTGCAAAAAGAAAAAAAGGGACAGAGATAATCTGTAGGAATTTTAGTCCTCATTCTAAGGCATCTGCAAATTTCTTTGCATTCTGCAAATGCTAAAACTGGGTGTGGGGTGGAAGCGCGCTGACTGTGTCTTCCAAGAAGCTAGAACCAAGCAATAAAAAAGAGAATTTTCTTTAGGCTGCCTGAAACACTGATATCTCTTCTAATGGCTGTTTTTCAGCTGGGGGAAAACTGTTAAAGAATTGAACTGACCTGCTTTTTCAGAAGCACCCGGGGAGGACTGTGCTCCAGATCCTCAGATCCAAAGGGGAATCTCTGCAAAAATTATCTGCAGTGACTTCTCTAAGAGCTGATCTAAGCCATCTGTTCAAAGTGTGAAGCATCTCAGTTTCTTAACTGAGAGATGATGTTACAAAATTTTTGTAGTTATGGCTGGATTTGCTATGGGAGAAAAAGGCCTTATTCTGATCATTAGCAAAGAGCTTTCTCCCGAGACTAGGGGGTTTCTATTCTCCTGTGTTTAATTAAGTAGCCCTAGCACTCAAATCAATGAGTCCAAATGCTAGTGTTGTAGTCCACCCTCGACTGGGAATTCAGTTGCTTTATGTGGGTGTGGTTCTTTGGATGTTGTGGTGGTGTTGTTTTGGGTGGTTTTTTTTTTTTTAATTTTTTCCTCTGCTGTTTCTCATGACTGGCTCAAAGAGCATGCTCTCTTCCCTCTGGCTCTGTTCTTTTCACCTTCACAATTGGCTCTTGCTGTGTGTTTTCATTCACGTGGACAAATTGTTCTGGCATGTACATGACCAGGGCATGGCCTGGTGCGCAGCACTCGGCTGCCTTTGCCAAAGGTGCTTGGCTTGGGCTGCCTGTACAGCTGTCCTGAGGGTTTTGGGTTTTTTTTTTTTGGTAAGAGAGGGCATCTCTGCTTACTCTTCCAAGCTTTGCTCCTGTTACAGTATCTGATTTGTGTCTCCTTCCCAAGAGGAGAGTAAAACCATCTCCAGTTGGGAGGCAGATGAGTGAAAACACAGCAATGCGACCTTTGTAGTTGGCATTCAAGGAAAGTAGGAATACCTGCGAGATGGATCACATTATTTCAGCATTCTGCCTCCCTTACAGAGCCAGGTGACATCGTGGTGGACCAGGAAGCATGCGGCTGTGGCGCTGGGGACCCTGAAGACTGGCTTGCAGGGAGGAATGCTACGGTGGGCAGTGCACTTGGAAGGTGGGCCGCGGAGGGTGAACCACGCGGCCGTGGCTGTTGGGCACAAGGTCTATTCCTTTGGTGGATATTGTTCTGGAGAAGACTATGAGACTCTGCGGCAGATTGACGTCCATGTTTTTAATGCAGGTAAATGTGTCCTTGCGGTGCACAAAGGAGTGGGTTGCTGGACTCAGTTATTAGTTTTCTTTCCCACTGGTGCTCAACAATTTACACTCTGTAACATGCTGTCCGACTCTAATTTGCAAAAAAGTTATCAGTTTAGATGGGAGCCTCTTGTGCAGCCTTGTATTTTCAGCTTCAGGGGCAGGGCACAGAGGG